GTCAATCCTTTTCTGACAAAAGAAATTCGAAATTTACCTACAAACATCAACAAGAAATAACAAAGGTCAAATGATGATGGTATATTATATATTTAATTCATAACATACTTAGAAGAAATATTGAACCGAATTCGGCATATGAACAAAATCGTCGACAAAAGAGTTTTAACTGTCAAGAATTTCACAATATAATTGTCAAAAACGACTGTTTATCTGGACAGATGGTTCCATAACCGTTGAGATTTAAAAAAGAGCACAAATATCCCTCATCTTCTTATAGAAAGCAAATGGAAGTAATTTTGTCAATCACATCTTGCAATAGAGTGCCCAAATAATACATTTCGCCGATACCCAATCCAATTTAGTTTTAATAGTGATCCATTCCTTGTTATTACAGCAAAGATCATAAAAAAGTTGAACGAATAATTATTTCATAAAACTAATCATTTCATAAAGTTTATGATTTCATATGGTTGTGCTGTGTATGTGCATGTATGTTCATTTATCTCTCTCATTATAGAAGTCGAGGAATTGGACTTTTGTAGTTCTTTATTACACGAAAATAGACACTTTTAATTATGGACTAAAATTAAAAATAAGCACTTTTAATTACTAAGATTTCATACGTAACACAAACAAATATAACTATCTTTTAAGTGAACTATTTAATTTGTCAAAATTAAAGTCTCGACATTTATAATTCTCAACAAATAACTAGTTCCAGACAGATCGTTATGTGACTCATCTGTCGAGATGAACTATTGTTCTTGACAGTTAGTTTCAGTTATTATCAACATATGACTAAATCTAGACAGATCAGTTAAGCCATCTGTCAATATAAACTATCGTTCTCAACAGTTAAAGGTAGTATTTCTTGACAGATGACTACGTTTTGACAAGATCAATTTTGCAGTCATTTGTTGACATGTCTAACTTTGATTGTGGTAAATAAGTGGGTTTAGAAAATTTTAGTAGAATTATTTGTTCAATTTTATAAAATGAATACGTGAATAATTAGTATTCTTAACATTTGTTAATGGAAACTCCTATTCATTTCATAAAATTGAATAAATAATTCTATCAAATTCTTCTAAACCCATTTATTTAGATATTCTTCTCCAAAAAAAAAAAAAAAAGGTGAAGAGGTGGTCCACAATAGTTGAAGAATATAAGTTATCAGTAGGAATACGTGTATTTTATCAATACGAAGCACCTTCATTTTCCATCTACAATAAAATCTTAATTGATGAAAATCTGTTAGGAGATAGTCCACAACAAAAAAGGATGAACATGTTTGAGTTTTGACCGGTTCAAATGAAGATTTAATCCTTGATTTGTCTACAAACTCCCATAAATTGATCAGAGTTTAGGCCAATTGAAATCAAACAAAACCTAAATCGAAACTTGAAAGTTATCTCTGATCGAGATTTATGAAGATTTCCTTGCTTTTGCTGAACCAATTTCTAAATCTGTAGAAACTTTTTAGAAGGTTTTGACAAATCGAGAGAGAGAGAGGTGAAAAGGAATAAAGATAGAGATATAGATATAAATTTTGTACAACTTTTTCATCTTGTCAAACCAACATTAATTATATACACATATAATTATATACACTTATGGGATTTAGGGCCCGTTTGGTAGGGATTTTGAGAATTGATTTTTTGACCGTTAGAAGAAAAGTGGGGTCCACATGTGAGAGAAGAAGTCAAAAATTACGGCTTGAATAGTAAAATAACGGTCAAAAATCAATTTTTTTGGGCAAAAAATCCCTACCAAACGGGGCCTTAAACTGTCTACAAGGGTAAAAAAGACCAAAAGGGATATTTTCGCAATGATTATTAAAAAGTGACATTTTTGAAAGTGCCAAGCCAAAAAGTGCTATGGAGTGCAATTTCCTCTAAAAACAATTGGATCGAAAGGAATTTATTAAAATTTCAAAGTGCCAAGAGTTGTAATAGTTATAGAATTCGTATTTTCTTACTTTTTTTTTTTTTTTTTTTTTTTTTATAGAATTCGTATTTTCTTACTTTTTTTTTTTTTTTTAAGATCTACTCATGATCATCACCTAATATGTTCTAATTGTTTTGAATATTTGGAGGAATTATTCCAATATCCTTGTTGATTATTTTTGAATTGTTTCAAATAATATGTTTATTAATGAATGACAATTATATCTTTGCAGCCCTCATAATTATTATCGATGTATCCCTATTTTTTTCCTATAAATATAGGGCTCTAGTTTTCAATAAAATACAAATAAATCTATTGACTTTTTCACTTTTTTTCTCTTTTACTCTATAGTTTATGACACGTTATTAGCACGAAAGCTTAATACTCAAAGTTTAGTAATTGTAGTAATTTTATATTAGCATAATCACGTGTATTGAAATTAATTTGGTAATATGTGATTTTTTTTTTTTTTTTTTTTTTTTCATGTGAATGATAATTTTGTATTATTTGGTTTATCTAATTAAACAAATATATGATAGAGGTTTAATGCATAGCTTCAAAATGTCATATCTTGTCTTCTGTAATTTTAAAACATTTAGTTATAATAGGATAATTATTCACACTTCAATTTTTATTTCTTGCATCACTTTTTAATTGTACTTAAAGCTCATAAAATTTGCTCATTATAGCACTTATGTCCCCAACAATTTTTCATATCATTTTTATTCTCAAACTTTCCATTAGTCAGCATATTTATAATTTGATAACAATTTTATTTCCAAAAGTTTGTTGAAATGACGTAAAACAACTTATTTTTTCATCTTATTTTTAAAAATTAATAAAAAATGTAAAAATATATTTTCCCTCATTTCAAAGCATGAAAACAAAATGTTATGATATATATCATAATCAAGGACAAGATATACTATTTAATAAAATATCAAAAATAAAAATTCGATGAAAAAATTTAAGGAAATAATTACTACAATAAATAAAAAGTGTGGTGACAATATAACTACTTATACTAGAATAGAGAAATGTGATCTAAAGTATGAATTTATTGAAAATTACCGAAGTACCATTGAGACTATGTAAAGCAGCAATGCTTAAATGAACTCTAAATCACAAATTACTTTTATGGACATGAGATGGGATGCTCTTTTTCAGATGATGCAGAAATTCTAATAAATCAAGTGAAAGTTGGTCTTAATCAATCATCGACAGTGAACTTACATTCTGAGAAACGAATTTTGGAATGAGAACAAAATCAGAATAATCCGAAAATTGAAAATTTTCTTTAATTCAGGAGACAAAATTGTCTAGAGGTGTTCAATGTGTCTATTATTCAAGAGTATATGATTAAAAATTTTACTTAAATTCAATAATTAATTATTGAATTGGATCTGAATAACAAATTTTGAATTTTTAAATCACGAACTTCCAACTTTTAATTTCTAAAATCTTATGTTACAAACCTTCAAGTCTTCTTTGATTCTCCGAAGTCGAGATTGCAAAGGCGAATGAGCACCTTCTTTTAATTAAATCGAGAAATTCATTCTTGTATTGGGCATATGAATAAAGTAAGAAAATAATTTTTTTTTTCACTCTATCAAATTTGAACACAATTAATTATTGTATTATGTGTTGTAGTTGTAGAATTTATAGGTTTCAACTAGTCTCTATCCATAGAGATATAAGGTTTCAATCCATGTGCAATGAGGATTCCAAACAAAGTTCAAATATAGGTTTTAGTTAAAATTCCAATTCCAATTAGTTTATATTTAATTACACGTACAGTAATAGAACTTCAATTACAATTATACTTAAATTTACAACTTTTACAATAGCTATAAGAAGTGCAAAACTTTATTGTACTTATAATTAATCTCAAAAATTTTATTATAACTGTAATTAGTCAAAGCCATTTTGTAATGGATTACTCTGTTGCATAAATTTGAAAGGAATCATATTCATAAAATCCTTTCATAAAATCATAAATTTCATGTTGAAATCAAAGAGACAACAAAAAGTGCGGAAACATACCTTGATCCATGAATCTTACTGCTTTAATTGGGTTTTGATCTTCCAATTGATACGTGATTTTCCTTCCTTTGTTTTCTTGAAAAGTCTCTGTTGATGGGGATGCCGAGATACCATAAAAAAAAAATCACGTTCAAATTGGGGACCATAACCACTTTTAAAATAACTGCTATTGGCAGTTATTAACTTTAAGTTATTTCAAATCGGCCCCTCATCAATTCAAAATAACACCTTCTGGTCTCTACAATTTAATCCCATAAAATTTAATACCCAATAGTCCAAAATTAAATCCAATGGATCACTTTATCGACTATATTTACTTTAAAATAGCACCACACATTCTAATAAATGTACATGTGTGGCCCCAAAGTTGGAATTTTTTCCAACAATCTCCCACTGGGCCAAACATGTTACATTATAAATGTGCACAGACTTATGAGCTCAAAACTGTGCTATAGTTATTAAAGGTAATTCCAAACAATCTCGTCCATTAGTTACATCGATGTAGGATCAAAGCGATTTTCGTCACATTTAGCGTGACTAAATCCATCAATGGTCACGTACACCCATACAACCAAATGACATAGATCAATTATGGGAGTGTAGCATGGAAATTACATGTTATGTGATCCGAACATGTCTATTTCCAACTGGTCCAACCTTATTTCTTAAGTGAGATCAGTACTGAACATAATAACAGAGTGGAATGAACTGAATGCTTTATTTCTGTACAGAAAATATCCAAATACATAAATGTGTTCAAAGAACTAAACATATATAAAGCAATAAGAATACAAACTCACACTAAAACATGATATCCTCAAAAAATACAACACCCATATGAGCGGTGTGCTCATGAAAGACCTTGGGTGGTAATCCCTTAGTAAGCGGATCCGCAATCATGGAGTTTGTTCCAATGTGCTCTATAGAAATCTGTCCACTCTGTACTCTTTCCTTCACAACCAGGAATTTAATGTCAATATGTTTTGATTTAGATGAGCTCCTACAATGTCCATAATTCTTTCATTCTCCTTATATCAGCTTGCATCTCGCATTCCACCTCTTCATACTCAGCATATAGTTTTTCGATAGCAGCATCTTTCTCGGCATCTTCCTCATCTAATTCTGCACATGCCTCACGAACCTCAGAGGCTAGCTCTTCCAGCTCCGCATTCAGATCATTCACCTCAGCTCTTAGCTCTAGAAATTCCTGCATCAGACAAATAAATCTACAATATAATGAATCCATAATAAGTTCTCAGGATATACAATTCATGGACGGACCCACATGGGGTCAGGTGATCTCCCCCCTTTTTTTCGAAAATTTCTTGTTCTAGTTTATTTGCCGACTTATATTTTTGTGTATTTATTCATTTTTAGTGTTTCGAAAACTCAAGTATGCTTTGACATGATAGAAACTTGGGACATTAGGCAAGGCTAGAAGAAGACACTCGAGCGCCAATGGCTGAAGCCTACCGCTCTTTGAGCGCTATTCGAGCGTATCCGTCCCGGATACAACCCATTTTACCCCGTCAAAATATCGCTAGTTCCCTCTCTGCCTTATCAAACTATATCAAATTTACCCTTGGAAGGATATTAGAAACAGATAAATTAAAAATAAAAATCCCATTATAATGCGACAGAACCACCACAAACTGTCATCTCAAATATTTTGCAACAAAACGTGACCATCAAGTTCACCGAACACGGGTTATAGTGTCACAATTGGGTTCTCGCAGTTGGAACAGATTAGGTGCAACCATTTTGATTAAAGGGTTTTGCTGAACATTCTGGAACGATAATGAGTGCGTACCTGCGTAGTGTATATACTCTCGGCTCTTGTGGGCCTGTTATAATCCTCGTTCCCTTCAAGAAGCACAGATTTTCTTTTCAAGTTCCTGATACCAAACACAAGTCTTAATGAAATAGGCTCAGAAACAGGTCAGTAATACAGAGAAAAATACGAACTTACTTTTGTCCTCGCTTCTTGTGGGCTTTTCTAAGGATAATTTTCCTTAGAAACGACATTATTGTAGCCTACAGCAAAGTTTCGGTCAATAAACAAATAGAAAAATAAAACCGGCTCACGAAAACCTATTCCACGCCCTACTTTAGAGAGAAAAGCAAAAGATCTTTTTGGAAAAGTTTAATCAAGTGACAGAAACAAAACATCGTTTAACGAACACCCAGAATCACCCAGAAAACATCGTTTAGAAAACGCGGTTAAGAAAAATTAAAAGAAAACGGGATGAAAGAAACAAAAAGAATACGATTCACGAACCTCTCATACACAGTAAAAAAAGAATTGCATAATAAAATACACTGAAAAAGTATTAATCAACTAAAGATGAACTTACGCGGAAAGATGAATCTATCGAGCAAGAACTCCGCGACGACCAAACCAAACACAAGAAAAACAAGGGAGGTTGCTGAAGGCACTTTTTCAAGCTTCGAATTAGGTTTTCTCGGTCGTGGAAACTGGAACCTGAAGATTGAAATTTAGGGGTAATGATTTAGGATTAGACGGGTTGGGCTACTATAAATAAGGGAAATTTTTACCGAAGGAAAAGATAATTCCAATGCTAACACAATTGTTTCATTCCTAAGCTACTTCTATATTTTATTATAATATAAAATTCCAAAATTATGGAAAGACCCAAATAACGTAAATTTAGGTAAGTGCTTGCAAACAAAATAAAATAGCTCCAACAATGTAGGAGTTCGTTATAAAAACAATTGGATCGAAAGGAATTTATTAAAATTTCAACGTGCCAAGAGTTGTAATAGTTATAGAATTCGTATTTTCTTACTTTTTTTTTTTTTTTTAAGATCTACTCATGATCATCACCTAATATGTTCTAATTGTTTTGCATATTTGGAGGAATTATTCCAATATCCCTGTTGATTATTTTTGAATTGTTTCAAATAATATGTTTATTAATGAATGACAATTATATCTTTGCAGTCCTAATATTTATTATCGTTGTATCCCTATTTTTTTCTATAAATATAGGGCTCTAATTTTCAATAAAATACAAATAAATCTATTGACTTTTTCACCTTTTTTCTCTTTTACTCAATAGTTTGTGACACGTTATTAGCACGAAAGCTTAATACTCAAAGTTCAGTAATTGTAGTATTTTTATATAAGCATAATCACATGTATTGAATTTATTTTGGTAATATGTGATTTTTTTTTTATTTACACGTGAATGATAATTTTGTATTATTTGGTTTATCTAATTAAACAAATATATGATAGAGGTTTAATGCATAGCTTCAAAATGTCATATCTTGTCTTCTGTAATTTTAAAACATTTAGTTATAATAGGATAATTATTCACACTTCAATTTTTATTTCTTGCATCACTTTTTAATTGTACTTAAAGCTCATAAAATTTGCTCATTATAGCACTTATGTCCCCAACAATTTTTCATATCATTTTTATTCTCAAACTTTCCATTAGTCAGCATATTTATAATTTGATAACAATTTTATTTCCAAAAGTTTGTTGAAATGACGTAAAACAACTTATTTTTTCATCTTATTTTTAAAAATTAATAAAAAATGTAAAATTATATTTTCCCTCATTTCAAAGCATGAAAACAAAATATTATGATATATATCATAATCAAGGACAAGATGCACCAATTAATAAAAGATCAAAGATAAAAATTCGATGAAAAACTTTAAGGAAATAATTACTACAATAAATAAAAAGTGTGGTGACAATATAACTACTTATACTAGAATAGAGAAATGTGATCTAAAGTATGAATTTATTGAAAATTACCGAAGTACCATTGAGACTATGTAAAGCAACAATGCTTAAATGAACTCTAAATCACAAATTACTTTTATGGACATGAGATGGGATGCTCTTTTTCAGATGATGCAGAAATTCTAATAAATCAAGTGAAAGTTGGTCTTAATCAATCATCGACAGTGAACTTACATTCTGAGAAACGAATTTTGGAATGAGAACAAAATCAGAATAATCCGAAAATTGAAAATTTTCTTTAATTCAGGAGACAAAATTGTCTAGAGGTGTTCAATGTGTCTATTATTCAAGAGTATATGATTAAAAATTTTACTTAAATTCAATAATTAATTATTGAATTGGATCTGAATAACAAATTTTGAATTTTTAAATCACGAACTTCCAACTTTTAATTTCTAAAATCTTATGTTACAAACCTTCAAGTCTTCTTTGATTCTCCGAAGTCGAGATTGCAAAGGCGAATGAGCACCTTCTTTTAATTAAATCGAGAAATTCATTCTTGTATTGGGCATATGAATAAAGTAAGAAAATAATTTTTTTTTTCACTCTATCAAATTTGAACACAATTAATTATTGTATTATGTGTTGTAGTTGTAGAATTTATAGGTTTCAACTAGTCTCTATCTATAGAGATATAAGGTTTCAATCCATGTGCAATGAGGATTCCAAACAAAGTTCAAATATAGGTTTTAGTTAAAATTCCAATTCCAATTAGTTTATATTTAATTACACGTACAGTAATAGAACTTCAATTACAATTATACTTAAATTTACAACTTTTACAATAGCTATAAGAAGTGCAAAACTTTATTGTACTTATAATTAATCTCAAAAATTTTATTATAACTGTAATTAGTCAAAGCCATTTTGTAATGGATTACTCCGCTGACCTAGGCGGGGTCACCCTTAATTGCTTGGTGGGGACGGCCACTGAATCGTTTGAATGAATTTATATAATGGGCTTCATTTTTCTCAGAAATTCCCCAGATGATAGTCATTCCCTAACACAATTTGACACGTGATGAGACCTGATTGGCTCCAATGACTTGATTGCCTTGACAAGAATCCTAATTCCTATGCGTCGTGGATATAAGGTCATTTGTACCATCGAAATGGAGGAAAGCGGGAAAGAGAAAAGGGCAAGTCAAAGAAAGACCTACTGTTGGCCCTTCATTTCTTCTTTTCCAATACTTTATTGACCTATTATAGGGACCTAATCGGATATATATTATCCAAGCTTCAATAATTTTGATTAATCCAAAATTTTCATGATAATTGTAATTATGTTCCAATACTTTATAGAGTTACCATAGAAACCTGATTGAGCATATATTATATAGATTTCAATAGTTAGATTATGTCTAGTCGATCATAGGCCATCAATCCATTTGTTAGTCTTTGTTTTTCACTAAACTTTAAAGACTGCACTCTTAGAGTATGTTAGCCCTTGGAAAGAAGTCTATAATTCCATTTAGCCATAGCGAAACGTAACCAATACGCATGGTAAACAAAGACATAAAAGGCTCACTCAAAGATTAATTATCATTTTTCATATCCAGGTTCGTTATAGGCTATTAATAAAAGGCACGCGAGCAAATGAACACAGTATGATTCCTAACCAAATCACTTATAAGAAAACCAGTAAGGATCCGCCATATGGTATTCCCTAAAATTGACAAAAATACCCCAACGCTAGGAGGGAAATCCATAAATACCTCCTCATTTAGAGAAGAAGTCATGCAATTCAAATATCTCCCATTCAAATAGCTATTTCTCTTCTTGTTCATGATTGATCATAAAAACTAGCAAGTATAGAAAGTGAAAGTCTTAACTAGTTGAGTAGGATTTATTAATTCAATTTTTATCATCAACAAATTGGCAATGTCTGTAAGAAATACTTGAACAAAGTAAACCATGACGTCTTGTTACATCTAGAAAAAAGTTCGATTTCCCTAAAGATTTGAAATCACGAGTCAAACTAAAGAGAAATTGGAGGAAATGAAGGCATCAAAAATGAAAGTTGGAGCATGCAGCGATTATCTACAGATAGCGACAACAATCCCAAGTGGCATAGACACAAAACTTCGACAGAAGCGCAGGCTGTTATTTCTCACACACAGCATCGTCGCTTGCAGAAGAAAATATCTGCTACTAAAACTATTCAAGAAATAGCTAAAAGCATGAAAGTGGAGAATGCTCCTCTGCTAGCGAAAATGAAAAACGTAAATCATACTAAAAACATTTGAAGAGAATGAAATTAATCTTGTTAATAGTGCTTTTTGTAATAATACAAACGTGCAAGCGTAAAAAACTTGTGATTGTATGCTGAAAAGGTCGTTCAAGTGGCGTCGCATGAATAGGCCTGCAAAAGAGAGGTTTTCGAAGAGGTCTCTCAAGATCTGAAAAATAGTTTCCATGATGGCCAACGGGTTGAAAGTCTTTTTGATATTCTGTAAAACACTCCTTAGGACGAGGTACATGAAGATCAAGCTACTAGGTCGTATGAATTGAATGACCATGATGAACATCTCCTATCTCTAAGGAAACTAATGAGGAACCGATCCCTGTTAAATTAATCCGTTTGGTTATGGATAAATACAGTGGAAAATGAGATCCTATGTACCATTTTGTGTGAGTATAAATGCTATTGAAAAAAGAAAATTCCGCACTTAAATGCCAAAGTTTCCATCTTACTTTAGATGGATTGACTACGCCATAGTATAGCAAGTTGTTGCTGGGTTCAATTCAGAGCTGACTGCAGTGAAACAAACTTTCCTGGAAATATTTGCAGAAAGTTGAATAGGATAAGCCTTGGGTACGACACTTGATGACATGCGATAGGAGGAATGAAGGTCCCTTAAGAGCTACTTTGCATGTTTCAGCATAGAATTGATTGCTTGCGAAATATTTGCAGATGAGAAGGCTCATGTCCTATTATTATTCTCAGATCTGAAGTCAGTACATCAAGAATGTACCATTTACATGAATCTCCTAAGACCACAGCACCAAGTGAAAATCCTTTAAAGGCTCAAACCAAAGAACCCATAAAAAACATCACAGAGACACCAAATCTTAACCGCGAGCCCTCACTGTCCCAAATCTACAAAGTTGCTTCAACAGGACACAAAACTAGACAAAAACCCCTTCGACACAAAGATTTCACACAGAGGAGAATCACCCAAGGAATGAATATCACAGGGATGATCCTTCAACATCTCACACAGAGAGATCGAAGAAGAACAAAGAACTGAAAACCCCTAATGAAGGTTCCAGAATGCGGATTACAGAAGAGAGAAAATGAATGGACGACTTCCAAACCCTAAAATGAGAAAAGGGATATATTTATAGTAGAAATCATCAGCCATCAGATTAATGGGTTGATCCAACGGTCCCAGAACAACTATGAGAATGGGCCGGGTATTGGGCTTGATTAAGCGGGTCATCTAAGTATAAGAGTGGATCAATCTGCTCATTTATCTATTGGGCTAGGAATTTATCATCATTGCCTGAATATTGGATTGATCATATTGGCATCACAGCCCAACACCTATAAAAAGAACTATTTATGTAATCTCTCTTTTGGCGGGATGTCACTAACAAAAATTCAGAATCTTACCATCAGCTCATGAGTTTGATACAAAATGAGATCCATACTAAAGATATAATTGAGAACCGTGTAATGGGGATGAGTTATCATCAATAGAAAGGCATCGACGTACGTGCAGTATTGAAGCATCAGTATCCGAGCCTTAATGATCACGAAAGCAAAGTAGACGTAGCAGATGAAGCACCTTTTTCCCC